GGTGGTGGGCAAGGTCTTACCTTGCAGCTCAGCTGGGACCCCCGGGGGGGACGTGGCCATGGTGGGGACCTCGGGACGAGGGGCCTGGGGCCACGGGTGTCAGGAGAACATCCCTGGGCAAGGCGCCCTGCTGGGAGGAGGAAGCACCGAGGTCACCAGCACCTCCTCCTCCTCCTCCTCCCCCACCCGGTGCCTCTTCCTGCCCCGTCAGGCGAGATTTGCTGCCTGAGCAGGAGGAGAGAAATGAAAGTGACGGTGCCCGGGAGGAGAAGACATCCCTGGCCAGCCCTGCTTCTCTTGCCTGGCTTCCCCTGGGGCAGCAGGACCAGCAGGGACTCCCAGGTGGGAGAAGCAGCATCTCCTCGTGGTCCAGCTTCCCAGGGTGGAGGGTCCATCACCCCTTTTCCTGCCCTGCAGAGCATCCAGGTGGGTCACGGCTGGTGGGCACTGGGAGGTCAGCCCAGGACCAGGGCCTGGGCATCTGCAGGGGGAGATGGTGGGGATGGGTGCTGGTGGCCACTGCAGGGTGCTATAGGCAGGGCTTGTCCAGAGCAGAAATGCCCTGGGAGTGAAGCCTAAAATGACAAACCCACTGCCCCAAAGCAAGGAGGAGAAGCAAGGGTCAAGTGGCCTCCTTGGAGAGGGCACATCGACCACCCTGCTCCCCAAGGAGAGCTCCAGGATGGAGCAGAAAGCCACCCTGTCCTGCCCCCCATGTGGTGCTGCAGGACTTCACTGCACCCAAGATTTCTCAGTGTTGGCTCAGCTGGTCCTACCAGAGGCTGGGGAGAAGGTGCTGAGGGAGCCAGCAGAGCTGCCTAGGTCCCTATGACCAACATCAGCTGGGATGGAAGGTGCCAGCTGCCTTGTCCCCCTAAGTTCTCCCTTTTTGACAAGCCACCAAGCTCCAGGCTGCCCGAGCTGCCAACTGAGGCCTCCCAGAGGCAGAAGAACCTAGGAGAAGGTGACCCCTGGAAGGGCTGGGTGATGTTGCTCTCCTGCCACACACACCTGCAGATGCTTCTGAAGCCACCTGTGGGGTAAAGGGAAGGCAGGAACCCATCACCTCCCTGCAGGGACAGCATCTCCATGGAGCCCAACCACAAAACAGCTGCTGGGGAGAACATTTCTCAGGACAAGGACCAACCTGGAGGGACCTCCTGGAGCCTCCTGAGCTAGGCCAGCAGGCAGGTAAGCACCAGGAAGAGGGAGGACACAGGGTTCTCACCACCCAACAGGGACAGCACCCACCAGCAACTGCTGAGCTTTTCCAGGGTGACAGGAGACCAGGCTACTGGTACCTGAACTTGTCAGGAAGGGCACCAGGTGCCACCTCTGTCGTGCAGGGACATCCAGGAAGTGCAAAGAGCAGCTGTCCCACTTGCACCCATCAGCAGGTGGCTTCTGCTGAAGCTTGGAAACACAAAGGAGCTCCAGACAAGCCTCATCCCAAGCTCCTTCCCCAAAACACTGGGTCCCCCATAGAATCATAGAATCTCTTTGGTTGGAAAAGACCTTTCAGATCATCAAGTGCATGCTGAGCAGCAGTGCAGGAGAACATCTACCAGTGCAGGAGAATATCTACCCCAGGAGCAGGGCAGAGGGAGACATCCCTGTGCACAAGCATTCCCTGCCTGTTGTGCCAGGTCAGGCATGTCAGGGTGTCCAGAGGACATCTCTGTCCTACCCCCAGAGGACATGGGCTGGGCATTTTCAGCTCAACCCCAGGTTGCTCTGAACCTTCCCAGAGCAGCTCCACCAAGGGCAAACCAGGAGCCTGCAAAGAGAGGTGGACAAGCAGAGCCACCTGCCCAAGGCAGGAGCTCCAGCTCAAGTCAGATGAAACCCAGGCTGCACAACAGGACTATTGACTGAACCACCACCACGAAACCAGGTCAACTGAGCAGACCACGAGGTAATACAGCAGGCTGAGGAGACAAGGAGGCTGCTCCCAGGGTGACCATCCCCACCAAAGCCTTGCTTGGGTCTCTGAGGAAGATCCCAAAGCAGCCAGTGATGAAGGGCTGCTTAGATGTTCCTCAGTTAAGCACAAAAGCCACCAGCAGCTGGTCCCCTTTGGAGACCAGTCCCATGTCCCCAGCAGGGCAGGGGCTGCCAAGGGACACAACAGCTCCTTGGGGCACCACCACAGGTCACCAGTTCAATCACACTACAACAGCCTTCCCACCCAGTGGGAAGCAGTGGTGTTAGGAGAAGGTGGTGGGACTCCTCACACATCTTGAGGACACCTTGAGTTTACCAACTCACCAGAACCTCCCCAGCTCCTCCTCCTGGCAGGAGCAGCACCTGCCTCTCCCACCTGCTGAAATAAACCTCCACCCTGCCCAGGGTTCCAGGCACCAAACTCCAGACAGCTTATCTTGGCAAGTTTAAGAAGGACCATGTCCCAGGATCAACTTCTCACCAAACATCTAGTGAAAATTCAAGCCCAGCAGCTCATGTGGTTGTTAAGATTAAAGCATTTCTTGTGCCATTGGCAGCAGCTCCAGGTCTGAAGGCAGCAGCACCAGATGAACCCTCCCAACCTTACCCAGTGTGCACCTACCTCCCTGCTCACAGGTGGCTCCAAGCTGCTTTCATGGGTAATGAAGATGGACCATGGAAACTCACCTGAGCATCAGCCCCACTTCCCAGAAAGCATCATAGAATCCCAGACTGGTTTGGGTGGGAAGGGACCTTAAAGACTATCTTGCATGGACAGGGACACCTCCCACCAGCCCAGCCTGCCCCAAGCCCCATCCACCCTGCCCTTCAACACTGCCAGGGATGGGGCAGCCACAGCTTCCCTGGGCAACCTGGGCCAGGCTCTCACCACCCTCACACCAAACAATTTCCTCCTCATGTCCAACCTCAATCTCTCTCTTCCAGTTTTAATCCCTTCCCCCTTGTCCTCTCCCTCCCTGCCCTTGTCCCAAGTCCCTCCCCAGCTTTCCTGGAGCCCCTTCAGGCACTAGAAGCTGCTCTAAGGTCTCCCTGGAGCCTTCTCTTCTCCAGGCTCAACACCCCAACTCTCCCAGCCTGGCTCCATTGCTTCTGCTGCTCAAACCATCAGCTACAATCATTTCACCTCACACCCCAAATGAACGAAAGCCACATCCTCCTGCACCAGCTCCAGCTGCAGCCCCTGCTGGTTGCCAGGAGAAGGTCCAGCCTCTCTCCACAACCCAGCCCAGAGAGCAGCTTCGTGCCACGAGCTGCTGGAAGGGACCAGGGATCCTGCCTTGACTGCAGACTCAGAATCACAGAATCAATGAGGCTGGAAAAGACCTTTAAGATCATCAAGTCCAGCCTACAACCTGACACCACCACATCTCCAGACCATGGCACCAAGTGCCACCTCCAGCCTTTCCCTGAGCACCTCCAGGGATGGTGCCTCCACCACTTCCCTGGGCAGTCCATTCCAAGGTCTGATCACCCTTTCCATGAGGAAGTGCTTCCTGATATCCAACCTAAACCTCCCCTGGAACAGCTTCAGGCCAGGCCCTCTCATCCTGTCACTAGTTGCCTGGGACAAGAGCTCAACCCCACCTGACTACAACCCTTCAGGTAGTTGTAGAGATAGAGAGAAGGTCCCCCCTGAGTCTCCTCTTCTCCAGACTCACCAACCAGATCCCTCCTGGCATCCAGCAGAGGAAACAACCACAGGGAGAAAGGACCTGCTCCTTGTCCCACCATCCCTACACCCATCCAGGAGGAGAAACCTTCCACTCCACACCTCCCTACCAACTCACCCCATTCCCAAGCACCAACAAACCAGCCAGGGGAGCACCCACCTTAATCCATTATTATTTATTAGCTGTACAGCAGTATATTCTCCTTCCCAGCTTCAAACCCCATTACATATTTTATAACAGTATTTTTTTTCTTCTTTTTTTTTTTTTTTCGTTTTCTTTTTTATTTCCCCCCACGTTGGCTTCCTAAAATAATGAAAAATATCACACAGTACAGCTAAGTACAAAAATGCATCAACCTAGAGTCTGAAAGCTAAACTGAGAGCTCCTTTAAAAGCGATACATAGAAGAAAAATTGGGTTGAAATCAGCAAGACTGAGGCTCTATAAAAAGCTTTAACATAGTTTGTCTTTGTGTTTTGTTTACCATGTGACAGTTCATATACAGGCATCCTTTGTAGGTTCACATTATTCTGATTTTGTCATCCTCAAGAGATTCCCAAAGGGTTTGAATTACTGACCTAATGAAACATTTCCTGGCCCAGGTTTCTGTGGGGCTGCAGTGACACCAAATCCCCACCTGCCTCCACGTGGGCTCCAGCAACACAAAAATGCAACAAGGAGAGAGAGAGCAAAGAAAATGGAAAACCAACAACCCAAAAATCACTTTTAAAAAAGGTTCATTGTACAGGTTTCAGGTTTGTGTGCTTGAAAAAAAAAACAACCAGGCTTCAGAGGTGGGTTTCTCTTGTTCTGCCAGCAATGATCTTCTCCATGGGATTGGTTAATCCAGAGGTTTTTTCCAACATTTCCACTCTCATTCAGTTTCTCTCGTCGCTTCGTTTTGAAAGGAATTCAAATCCTGGGGTTTCTTTTAAGCTGCATTTTTTTTGCATCCCTCTTAATTAATGGAAAAAAAAAAGATTAAAATGGTAAAAAAAAAAAGTTATTTACAAGCTTGACCATTCCAGAAATGCTTTGCAGAAAGCAAAGCAGATGAATGAAGGACAGCAACCAGTTGGAGCATGCCAAGACTACCGTGTGCAGCCGACTGGGAGAACTGGGAGAACTGGGAGCAAGTCAGTGGGGAAAGCAAAAAAAACAAAACAAAACCCAACGTTTTAAAAGTCTAGAACCTTCCCAAGTCTGCATTTACAGTTAAAAACACTACTGAGAGAAGGAGGCTCAAGGACTCTGGGAACTGGAAGGGTAAATCCAGAGTGGTTGACCACAGACCTTCTGGTTTTTGTCTATTAAAACTTGGTGCATGTAAACAGGACCCTTGGGTCAACTTTACGATGCAGTTCAGAGCAAAACTAAATCAAGCATCTCACAGGAAACCCTTTCAAGGACTCCAAAATATATTCCTAATGTTCCATGATCCTGCAAGGCTAACATAAAACAGCAAGTTCTAGTTAAATCACGTTCTAACATCATCTTGAAGTCGTGGTTGGTTTGTTGGTTTTTTTTGTGTCGGGTTTTTTTTTAATTCATTTTGATTTTTTTTATTTTTTTTTTTCCCAGTAGGTTTGGTAAAATGGTCTAAAATGATGCATTTCCCAAAGCCAAGAAAACAAAAAAAGGTAAAAGGAAAAATAGATTTGAGCCGTTTAAACACAGCCCAGGGCAGTTCAGTCAGGCCAGGGTGGTTCTCCTCCATCACCGGTCCATCATGCTGAGAATCATCTCAGGGGTCAGGTCTCCATTGGGAGCTTCCACCACAGCAGGCTGAGCTTCCTCCTCCTCCTCTGCTGTTTCTGCATCAGGTTCTTTCTTGACTTCCACTATGATGTTTTCAATCTCCCCAGTGTTCTGGTCTTCAACCTGGATGATGGCTGCAGCTGGAGGGGCAGGGGAAAGACATTTTGTTACTGGTTGCAGAGCTGGCTGAACACCTCACCAGGGAACTTCCCAGCAGGTAGTTAAGACTTCCTTCCATGGAAAGGGAAGGTGGAGCCCACAACTCCCATTCCCACATGAGCAGGAGTGATTCACTTGGAGTGTTGTGTCCAGTTCTGGGCTCCCCAGTTCCAGAGGGACAGGGATCTACTGGAGAGAGTCCAACAGAGCCTATGAGGATGGAAGGACTGGAACATCTGAGAGACCTGGGGCTGTTCAGTCTGGAGAGGAGAAGACTGAGGGGGGATCTAATGAATGTCTCTCAATACATGAGGGCAGCAAGAAGGCAGGACAAGCTCTTGTCACTTGTGCCCTGAGATAGAACCAGGGGCAATATATTCTAACTGGAGCCCAGGAAGTTCCACCTCAACATGAGGAAGAACTTCTTTGCTGTGAGGGTGACAGAGCCCTGGGACAGGCTGCCCAGAGAGGTGGTGGAGTCTCCTTCTCTGGAGCCTTTCCAGCCCTGTCTGGATGCCTTTCTGAGTGACCTGCCCTGGTTTGGGTCCTGCTCTGGCAGGGGGGTGGACTTGATGATCTCTAGAGGTCCCTTCCAACCCCTTATATGCTGTGATTCTGTGACTCAACCTGCCCCATTCATCCCAGTATCTATTTCCTTGCCCCCATGTCAGGATGTGCTACCACTGCCACACTTCCAGGAGACCTTGGGATGTTCAGGTGTTATTTAAACAAAGGATTTTGTAGTGTAGACAGGATTGTACCAATAGGGGGGCATAAAGAAAAATTTCTGGGTTCCCCAGAATCTGAAGCAGGATTGTACCAATAGGGGGGCATAAAGAAAAGCTTCAGATTCTGGGGAACCCAGAAATACTAGTGACAAATTCAGCATAAAATGTTTCCACAGGCTGTAATTCAAGGCCAGAGCCACCCTGGGAGCACTGAGCAGACAGGCCAGCACTGGGGAAGCCTTTACCCCCTGAGGGAGCAAATCTGCCCTTCCTGCTTTCAGCCTACAATGGACTGACTTGGATTCTGTGCAGTCATCAATGTCTGTCCTCATGAAGAGAACTTGGTAGGGTTGGAACACCAGCACTGAGGCTGCACTCAGAACCACAGGCATGAAGTCACCCCTGTAAGTGCTCAAGGGCAGGTTGGATGGGGCTTGGAGCAACCTGGGCTGGTGGGAGGTGTCCCTGCCCATGCAGGGGGGTGGATCTACATGGTTTTAAGGTCCCTTCCAACCCAAACCAGTCTGTGACTCCACAATTCTATATTTGTGGCAATAACTATACAAGCCTACAGAGGCCAGAACACCACAGTGACTGCACCAACAGCTGCTTTACCAGGAGCTGCTTCACAGCAGAGACACCCTGAGTGGTGCAGAAAGAAGTTGGCAGTTTGCACAGCACTCAAGTGGGTTAATCCCAAAGGGAAAAAAAATTATTCCTCTCCTTTTAGCAGGGCCTGGAATGGCTCCTTTCCTTCAAGCCCAGGAAAACCCACAGATTTCACAGACAAGGTGAGTTCTGAGCAAGGCAGAGCCAAGTGCACTTGGTCTGCTCTGAAAATCAGTTCTCTTGAGGAGAGCAGTTCTCCTCCAAGAACTGCCACATCCAAGGGAAAAGCAGCCCAAGCAAATTAACTTCACTGAGAGACTCACGTTGGGATTGTTTTGGTTGGGCAGCAGCTTTGCCTGGGGGTCTTCCTCTTCGTTTCTTACTGGGAGGTGGTGCAGGAGCCTCTGGCTCCACTTCTGGTTCAGCCTCAATTTCTACTGCTGTCTCCTCTTCATCTTCATTATCATCCAGATCTGGCTCAGCATTTTCCTCTGTAAGAAACAGGGAATCAGGGGAGTGTTCAGGTTAAACAAGAAGGAAACATCCACCTGCAAAGAATCACCAGCACATCCTCAGCCTCAAGGAGTCAACTCTGACGGACTTCAGTTCTTTCCAGTACTTAAAGGCTGGATTCCAAGAAAACAGAGATTCCCTTTTGACAAGGAGTCACATGGAGAAGACAAGGGGTGATGGGTGCAAGTTACTCCTGGGGAGATCCCAGTGAGACACCAGAAGAACAACTGTCACTATGAGACCAGTCAGACACTGGAATAACCTCCCTTGGGAAGTGGTGGATTCCTCAACACTGGAGAATTTTAAGCCTCAGCTTGACAAGGTGCTGGGGCCATCCATCTAAACCCTGATCCTACCTAGAAAGGTTGGACCAGATTTTCCTTGAGGTCCCTCCCAACCTGGCATTCTATGATGAGAAAGAAAGCAAACAAGGCCTTTGTGGAGAAGCTGGTGGCACAGACTGTGAAGTCTGTTACCCTAACATGAAAGAACAAGTTGTCCTTCAGAAAGCAAAAGGAAACATGATTCTATTAGGTTATGAGATAAAAGCTCCTTGCACATCCACAAAGGAGCTCAGAGACAACAACAGGAGTGGGACCAAGTGCTGCACTGCTGGGCTACTTCCAGGCCCACCAGAGAAGACATCAGCCACCAAAGTCCCAACTACACAACCCAGAGGAGAACAGGGGTGCACAGTGGAAGGTGGGAACCCCAATCATGGGCTTGCCCATCTTGTCTGGGTCCTTCCCAGGAGAGCCATCAACCCCAGCTAGTCATGGGATGCTTAGGGGAGGGGTTGAGGTATTCTGGAGAGGAATAAGTGTGGGAAAACAGAGGGGCAAGAGGATAAAAGGGGCCACCTGCACCTAAGTGGTGGTAGCAACCACTACAGTATCTCCATGAAACACCAGAGCTCCAGAGGGACCTCAGAGCCAGTCTCCCAGCTCTCAAGGCAAGGCCAGACTTCAGTCTCTCTCTGTTAAGAACCAGGGTAGCAGCTCCCGGACACTGGGACTGATGTCTAAGACCTCAAAATCTCAAGTTGGACATGGCAGAACCACACAGAACTGGGGTGTTCCCACACATCATGTGTGGACACAGCCCTGCAGGCCACTCCGTAGGCTTCCCAGGGCACCCCCACAGAATTTACCAACCAGTGACCAAGAGGATCTTCCCCAAGACCTCTCTTCAGAGGCAGGACAGGTTTAATACAGTGAGTTTTACAAGGCCCTGTCTCCTCAGAGGATTTATGATGGCACCTCCCATTCACACCAGCTCTTTTGCACCTCACTGGGCTTTGGGATTTCAATCCAACAGTCCCCAGATCAAGCTGTGGAGCTTCTGCACCTTTTATGTTGCTAACTGAGCTTACTGCTGTTATTCTTCAGAGCACTCCTCAGTTCCCAGGTTAAGCAGGATGGACCTTCCCAGACTGCCCCAGACTAAACCAAAGCAGACAAAAAGCAGGTAAAGATGCTGAACTGCTGGACACCCAGGCATGTCCATGCTGCATTTTTCCAGTCACTCAAAGACTACTCACAGAATCCTTCTGGTTGGAAAAGACCTTTAAGATCACTGAGTCCAACCATAAGCTAACTCTAACAACCATTAACCCAGCTCTTCCAAGTCCAGTGTTTAAACCATGTCCCTCAGCACCACATCTATATTAAACACCTCCAGGGATGGGGATTCAACCCCCTCTCTGGGGATTCCCCAAAGTAAATTGCTTTCATTTACTGGATTTCTCAGGTCCCACCTTTTAAGAACTTCTTCACACTCCTCCCTCAGCTCAATGTCTCTCAGTCTGTCTAATCTGGGCCAGACAGGCCAGGTGGGAAACAAACCAATCATTTACTATCTACTGCTTCTCCAGAAGCTAAGTCTGTTTGGTCACAGCTTTGTTCACCAGTTTTAGATATTTAACAGTTGCCCAAACCCACAATCTACAGATCTAGAGATAAGAAGACCACTGACTAAGTTCTCCAAGCCTGTGGTTAGGACCTCTTTCTTACTGCTCAGCTTCTTCAGTCTGACAAATGATTCCTGAGGAGTCAGCTCCTGAGGCTGAAGGGATTCCCTCAGAGCCACAACCACCCAATCATCAGCTCATCTAACGAGCACAACTCTGGACCAGCTTCTCCAAAAGCTGTTCTGAACCTCAGGCCATAACACCCACATTAAATCATGGGTTTTTACCATAAGCTAAACTCAGGAGATATTAAAAATGAGATGCTACAGAATCTCAGGTTTGGAATTACCTTCCACTGAGGCAGTCATTTTCCTCTTTCTGCCTCCAAAACCTTTTTGTTTAAATGAACAAGTTAGACAGACTTCATGGAACTGTTACCCACTTTTTCAACTACCTACACAAACATGAATTCAAGCACTTGTTTCTAGGGAGTTTCTGCAGCCAAGGTTTGCACAAGGAAGCTGACCACACATTTCCTCTCAAGCCTCTCTGCCACCTAAGAATGTCAGATAGACATTGCCTAGCCAGGAAGATCCCTGTTCTCCCAATCTATGCTCCTTGATGAAATCCATTAAGCACTTCAGCTCACAGACTGATCAGCAACACTGCTCCTGC